TCTCTAAGCCTTGGTTCTCTAATGCAGCTACTACAAGAGGTCGATATTTTTATAATGGTGTGTAATCTCCTGTTGAGGAGGCTTTTTATGGAAGGTATAATTTGTAAAAGTTAGGATGTTTGCCTCTCGACTGCATTGACATGCCACAGGCTCAGACTGTTTTTGTGTAAAAGATGTCACAGAACGGCACTTTTTCTAAAGAGAAGTTTGATATTTTGTATGCTTGTTAAGAAAGTACAGTATTGGAAATTAAAGGTGGACAACTGATAATTGAGAAGTATGTCAATTTTTTATGTATATTACCTGTTTACTTGTACAATTTTATTGTACAAATTACATGCAGCTTCATTTTCAAATGAGTCCTTAAAGTAAGGAAAATCTTTTTAGGAAAACATTTAATTTTTGTATTTTTGATTTTAAAAGGCATGAGTTATGTCAACTTTTTCCAGTGTATTAATGAAGATTTTAACTTTTCATCAGGTTGAGTGTTTTCTTACTATATTATCTGTTGTGTATGTAGCTAGCACATTGTGTCACTGAACTGTTTAAAAAGATTAGCATGTAGAGCAAGCCTGTTTTGTGGAAAATCCTTATTCATTAAAAAAAATCATCATGGCAGATTTTCTGCAAAGAAAGTGAAAACATTTGCAATTCAAAATACTGATTTTTTTTTTTTTTTTGTATTTAAAGAAAGGTATTTTGCTTGCAGGAAAGAAATACTACAGATTCATTTTAATGAGAATCTTTTAAATGTATTTATCTTTAGGGCATCTGGGCATCTTTACACTGTTTGTCTTATGTCTTTATTGAAATAAAATGTACATAACATTACCTTTATATATGCTTTTGCGCAGACGTGTGAGCCTGTAACCATCCCCGCTCCTCCCTGTTTTTATGTTGATGAGATGGTTCTGGAAATATTTATAGATTTTGAAAATGGTCGGCTTGTATTTGAATTGCTACATGGTTTGCCAACTATTTTTTAGCTGTTCGTTAAAATGTAAATCTAAATCTGAGATTTTTAATTAGTTTTAACAGCGAATCCTTGTTTAACGTGGAATTCTTCCAAATTTCTTGGAGTAATTTACACAATAGGACTGCTTTACACATCACCAGGCTACCAGAAGGAACCCGTTTTTGTTCAGTAGCTCATAGCTGTTCTCTGACTGTAACAAGAGATGATCATCTGCTCAGATAACGTCCTTACACACGTGCGTCCTCTCTTTGGCTAAAACCATTATAAAAGTGCTTTCTTTAGTTAAGGAAACCAAAGCATACATTGCACTTTACAGCTGTATCTGTGTTGTGATTATCAGATCGGTGAGGGAAATGGAAATGTAAATTGGAGGATTTAGTTCTACATAGATGCACAACAAAAATTACAGAGACTGCGTAGTAAACATATTAAATATTAATATTTTAATGTGCTGCAAGTCTGATATTTATCATTCTGAACTTTCTTTGCAGAATGAGTCTACCTTCTTCAAAATGTAAGTTCCTAAAAACGTCAAAGACTTCTGGCATAAAAACAGAGTCTTTGCATGAAGCAAAGTTCTGTTCCTTCAGCTTTGATTTCCATCGCTTAGTCTCGAGGGTGAGGCCTCACTGTTTGACTTCAGTCTGGATCAAATTGTGCAGACCAAAATTGGCGCTGGCAACCAGGGGGTCTCAGCTACGTCTGTTACTTGAGGTTGAATGTAGAACTGTGCTACTTGAGCAGTTAGTCTCGTAGCTGTATCATTTATGCTCATTTTATGTACGCTTAGGAAACACGCCATCGTATTTCCAAAGTTCTTAATGGTTTCATTTTTGTCTACGGTTTCATTTGTGGTCTTTGACTTGATGATGGCAACTGTTTGCTAATTGAATGTGTTTGTATGTATTCTGTTCTAGGCTTGGGTGTTTTTTGTTTGGACAGCAAAACAACAATATTTCATACTTCCATTATTGGCTGCTTTTCTACCTTTGATTCATTTCACCTTTCATCTCTATGGGAAAAGATTCTTTTCGTTATTATTCAAATGTATCTGAAAGCCTGAATGTTTCAAGACCTGATAAAACATCTTCCATAGGAAGAGTTGTATCAGCTGAATGCATGCTATAAGGAGGCACTTCTTTAAACAGAGCAGTAAAATGTGTTACTAAAGGTAACCAGATGTGTAAGTGCAGAACTGTTTGCTCTCACTCACTGTTGGAAGCAAGCATCTTCTCATTCCACATCTTCTCCCCTCCCAGACTCTTCCAGAGGCCTTTTTAGGCGCTAGGTGGATTGGCACAACTGACAAAGCATCGAGCCTCACTGAGGAAGGGGCTGGGAGTGAGTGCAGATCTCATCAACCTGCCTCCCAGTAGCAGCGTGGTGATGTGGGCTGTGGTCTGCAGCAGCCTGTAATGGTAGAGCTTGGTTGGTTGGTCAGGAAAGCTGTCCAGAAACACAGGAGTGTTACTATCCAAGTAAATACCCACGTCTCTTGATTTTTATTTTATTTTTTTCCTTCTGGTTCTGACTTCCTTATAGCATTGCGTTGCAGATCATTACCTTTATTCTCTGTCTAAAACGGCCACATCCTGCTAGTGCAGACATGAAGGAAGATGATGGCATTTGTAACTTAACAAATGAGACTAAAACCAAGGAATGCTCCATCCGTGGTGGGGTGCTTACATCAGTGAATTGTGGCTGCTGAACTCTCTGCGTTCCCTCGCTGTCATTCCTCTTTCTTCTGCCTGGGGGGCTGGATTAGCACTGAGCACACCTAAATTTGGGGAAGTAGGAAAGTTATCTGTGCCTTCTTTGTCTCCTCTCCATCCTGTGCTCCCGTTACCTTCTGTTTGAAGGACTTGGAGAGCACACCTTTACAAAGCTAGAATTCCAGTGTGAAATTAATATTTACATAGTTGAAATTAATCTAGTATGTATAGGTAAATGGAATGGACTTCAGGAAGTCAAGGCCAAAAACTAAACATTTGCAACATACTGTCAAGTGAAAGAAAAGACCAACCACCTACTGGTGTGATATCAGCACAGCTGTTGGGTTTGTTCCAAGAAGTGCAACGAGAAACTAATTGCTATTTCATTAAAATAACGTCTTCCGCTGTAAGTAGAATTTCAAGTTCAGTATTGGTTCTTTTGATGGGGAAACTCTGCAGCTGTGGATCTGTGCAGCAAAGCAGGCAGGTGGTTCAGCCAACCCCATTAAGCTGCTTTAATCTCGTTATCAAAGCCTGATAGAAAGGTGAAATAACAAGATGAGAGTCAGGTGGCACCTCGGGGCAGCGCGCGGTGCTGACAGCTGGTTCTGAAGGCTGCCCCTTCTCCCTTCTCTGCCTGGGGATGTCGCTTTCCCACTTCCTTCTGTCTCCAGGGCTGTGCTGGGCCCGAGCAGGAGCTGGTGTGTGGGGCGGCGTGCTGTGCTGACCGAGGTCGGGTAGAGCTGCTACAGGAAGGCTCATGGGGAGATGGTTTTTCTGGGAATGTAATCGCCACGTTGGAGTCATTCAGCTGGAGAACGATGTTGTTGTGTACTTTAGAGACATTAAAGGACTGTTCTCAAAGATCTGATTAGGCCAAAACTGTGTAATTGCAGATCTGCATCTTGGATTTCTGATGCTTAAATAAAATCGTTAACAACTTGATAAATGGCTGATGAGAAGTAGCATAGATGCATTGTTTTCTTAGCTAGTAGTCATAATTTTGTAAAAAAAAAAAAAAAAGAAAAAAAAAAAAGAAAAAAAAAAAAAGAAAAAAAGAAAAAAAGATATATATAAATAAAAAAAAAAGACAGCAACTTCTTTGTTTGGAAGCAAGCAAGGAAGGCTTGGTAAGGATTGACTTGTATAGGTTCTGTTAAGCACATCATATTTTGGTTGTCTTGACTGTGTAATGTAATACTGTTTTGCTTTATTTTTTTTATACTTGCAAAATGTCATTGTACTGATAGGCTGAATCTTGTAAAATACAATTGGAAAAGAACCAATGTTCTACAAATTTGTGTTTTTTTCTGCTATCATTTCTAGTATATAGAATCATAAAGATTTCTATTAAATATTTATACTCTAGTCACTGTTTTAATGATTTTTAGCTGTTATCAATCCTGCGCTGAAAATTCAGCTCTCTGCCGAGCAAGGCATTCCTCACGTCCGTTTTCAGCCTCAGAACTGAAGGAAGGTTGGTGGTTGTGCTTTTGAGGCTGCGGAGGAGAAAACGTGCGGCGCGCGGGCTAAAACTGTTGGAAGCTGTGAACAGCGGGTTCCGGGGGCTCCCGCAGGGCGCGGAGCTGCAGCGCTCCCTGCGCAGAGCGGCCGTTTGGAATCCGCGGTGTCTGCGGGAGGCGGCCGGGGAGGAGCGCTGGCTTCCGGCCGGGTCGCGGCTCCGGCTGACCGCACCACGAGGCTCCGGCTTCGCGCCAGCGGCGCGGCGTTCAGCTCCCGGCTCGGCGGCTCTCGTCCTCGTTTCGGACGCACCGCACCGCCCTGCGGTTTCGGAGCCCAGCCGCGTCGGGGCGGCCGCAGCTGCGGGCCGGGCCGCGGCGCCGTGGAGCGATGCGCTGCTGGCCGCGCGGCGGGAGGAGCGGCGGCACAGGGAGGATGCGGGCCAAGCGCCGGCAATTCCCGGCCGCCGCGGCAGCTTTTCTCCCACGGTTTTCCCAAGATTGTTCGCGTTCTTTTTACACCTGCTCGGGGACCAACCGCGCAGCTCAGCTCTCTGACAGGTTTCACCCTCTCGGACCGCGGGGCTGCGGGCTCTGCCACCGCCACGGCGGCTCTTCCGTTCCCGCCGTACGAGGAGCGGCCGAGCGACCCGCCGCGTTAAGCGGCTACTCCCACGACGGCCCCGTGCGGCGCCCGGCCGAGCCCCGACCCGCCGGGGTGGGGGGGAGCGCGGAGGCGGAGCGGCCGCTCGGCCCTCCCAAGATGGCGGCGCGGCCGTCCCCTCGGCCCTCCCAAGATGGCGGGAAGAGGCCGCGCGCGGCCCGGAGGGGCGGGGCCCGCTCCCAGGGTGCTCCGCGCGGCGCGCGCCGGGCCCGCCGTCTGCGGCTGCCTCGCAGTGCTCGCGCCGGCGGCCGCGCTCCCGCGGGAAGATGGCGGCCGAGGCGGATTCCTGGGGTAGGTGGCGGCCTTCGCGCCGCGCGGGGGCCTCGGCCTTCGCCCCGCGCGCTCCTCACCGCTCTCCTTTCCTCCCGCAGACGCCGACACCTTCGAGGTGGTGGAGCCGGTGGCGAAGCGCTTGGTGCCGGCGGGGGTGGCCGGCGACCGCTGGGCCGGCGAGGACGAGGAGGACGACGTGAAGGTGCGCGGGGCGCCTCGGCGCGGCGGGTCGGGCCGCCGCCGCTTCCGTGCCGCCCGGCCGGCGGGTCCGCCGCGGAGCTTCGGAGCCGAGCCGGCCCGACATCGGCCCTCGGCGCGGGCCGGGAGCGGCGGCCGCGGGGAGCGGCGCCGGGCCAGAAGCGGGCAGGGACGGGACGGGCGCGGGGAGGAGCCGGCGGCGGGCCGGAGCTGCGGCTGGGCGGCGGTGCTCCGTCACGGCTCTGCGCGGCCCTTCGCGCCGCTCCGCCGTCCGCGGGCCTTGGCGGCGCCGCTGCTGCACGTGCGGCCGGCCGGCGTCGCGCCGGGGCTCCTGCCGCTGTGCTGCGCTGTGCGCGGGATGAAAGGCAGAGCGAAAGGCGGCTTTTGGCGTCGAGTCGAGCAGCTGAGGGGCTGTCAGACACCGCGTGCCTGCGGCCCGGCCTGAGCTGGTCACCACCTCGTGGGCGCGGGTGTGAAGCCCTGCGAGGCAAAACTGAGACAGGGGAGGTTTAGGTTGGATATGAGGAGGAAGTTTTTCACACAGAGGTGGTGAGGCACTGGAACAGGTTGCCCAAGGAGGCTGTGGATGCCCCATCCCTGCAGGCATTCAAGGCCAGGCTGGATGTGGCTCTGGGCAGCCTGGGCTGCTGGTTGGCGACCTGCACACAGCAGGGGCTTGGAACGGGATGAGCACTGTGGTCCTTTGCAACCCAGGCCATTCTGTGATCCTATGAATGTGTGCTGGGTGAGGGCTCACTGCTCTGCTTGGTTAGGCTGTGCTGTGTCGGGAGAATCTTGGGAAGCACCATCACAATTGCCCTTGGAGCTTAGGGTGGTACTCCTTCTGTAAGTAGTATGAAAACGCGTTCTCTTTCTATAGATAAATATTTCTGTAAGCTAGGAGCTGTCTATTCTGCTCCTGAAATGCGATAACACCCACAGCCTGTGGTTATCACTGCTGTGGCATTACAGCAGGCAAGGTGAGCGGAGGTATCTCTGTGTGCAAGGGCTGCAGTCGTCTGTAAGCAGTGTGGTTACAGCACAACTGTGTGCACATATGTAACATTGTATGCAGTCCTTATACTATAACACACATGTGCACGTGTGTTGTACAGAGAATATTTGTGAAGTTTGCTTTTCTGCCTGCCTTTGGAAGTGAGAAACCTTTTTGGTATGATACAGCGTGTCCAGGAGAACTGGTCTGTGAAGTGTCACTCATAAAGACACCTCTGCTTTCTGTGGCTGCTAAAATAAAGGAACAAAGCTTCCCACATGTGCCAGGAATTTGGCTTCTTCCATCTTTCTCAGAGGTTACACCTTCAGTACTGGAGCTGTATCTGGAGAGGAGGACCTGTCCAGCAAATGGAAGTGTTTCATTTCGATTTGTTCTGTTTGTTTAAATTCTAAACATCTCAGAACTGAGTCTGGGAGATTTGTTACTCAAGCTCTGGATACCTTGTTTGCCAGGGTCAATGTTGAAGTATGGGTATGAGAAAAAGTGGCCTAAAATCTGAGCACAGAGTGTTTCCTGTGTTCACATTTTTTCTATCTTTTCTACATATTCAGATCCTGTAGTTTATTTTGCCCTTGTTTTGATAATGATCTTACAGTAACTCCTAAGTTCTGGAAACACTGACTTCCCCACGTTTAAAATTATCATCTTCATTGATAACACAGCTGCTCTGGGCTGTTACCCCAGCACAGCTTTCCCAGGAGGTGGGCCTGGTGCCAAGGGGTTTCCTCTACTTATCCCTGGGCAGTTTTTGGTTCAGCAAAGCCAAACTGGGAGGTTGTGGCCTGGCACAGCACTTGTGGAGGAGCGCTGGGGCTCAGCTGGGACTCTGGCAGCAGAGTGCTGCCATTCCCTGCTCCTGCCCTCTGGTCTGGGCAGGGTGCTGCGTTGTCCTGTGCTCAGGGAGGGTGTGAAACTGGGAGAGCTGCTCCGGTCAGCAGTTACTCAGTGCAGTGGGAGGTGATTTCAGCCTTGTTTTAGTGAAGTACTTGTGAAGGAGAGCTGTGGGATGCTTCCAGGTTTTCAGCTCCTCATTGGATATGTTGTGCAGTAAAGGTGTCCTGCTGTGAGTTATGGGTGTGCAGCACAGAGCTGTGGTACTGCCCTGGGTCTCTTTTCCTCTGAGAGGTGGGACTGGGGCTCCTCCCACTGCAGTTACAGCCACAGAAACATCTCCTGCACACTCCTCCTGCACTGCTAACAGGTGCCTGGGAGCAGGAGCAGTTGCTGCAGGGCAGGCCGTGCCCAGGTCTGGGCTGCAGGTGTGGGAGGAGGCGGAGCGCTTCCTTCAGCCCCATCGGTCGTGCTGCCCTCCTTCCTTGTGGGCTTTGTGCCACACAACACTGGATTTAAACCTCTCTCCATGCAGGTGGGGCCAAGGCAGAGAGCACAGCGGTGCTGAAAATGGCTGCTGAAAAGGAATGGGTGTAACAGACTTAATTAGATAGGAGCTAGATGAGTGCTGCTGCAAATTGAAGTCAGCCTCTTGGAATGTGGAAGGGAAGCCTGCTCTCCCACAGGTGCCCATTAGCCCAGGGGAGGTGTGGGGACGCACGGCGCTGTGACGCCGTTCCTCCTCTGGGTGAATGGCTGGGATGGGTGCTCACATCGCTGCTCTGAGCTGCGGCTCGGAATTCAGGGCTTATGGTTGCAGAGCTCACCCGTAATGTGCACACGGTCTGTGTGACGTTTGTGTATACCAGGCCTTGCCAGAGGTAAGCTCTTAAACTTGCAGGTTCCATTGATACAGATTACTAAAATCAGACTCCTGTGTGATTTCTTGGCTTTACCTTGTGGTGCATACATTGTGTGCTGCCAGGCGTGTACCTCCAGGTCGATTTTAGAGCACTGATCTCCATACAGAGGGCACCAGTAGAATCTGGAAGGGCACCAGGAGAAGAACATGTGTTCCCATAAATCATACCCAGCTAACTGTTGGGAAGGGACTGCAGAGCTGCTGCTGGCAAACCCGCAGGTGACATAAGCAGGTCAATTCTGTTGGAAGCCGTGCTTCTTCCACGTTCATTTCATCTGTGCTGTGTGTTGAGGTGCAAGCATCCATTGGGTCGTGGGGCACAAGGGGTGCTGAGGGCAGAGCTGTACCACAGCTGGGATGGTTGGAAACACTCAGGAATGTGGTCACTGTTGGAGAACAGCAGTTTGTGTGTGGGAAGGACTTCTGATGGCCCCTTCACTTGCAGAGAAGTGACAACTGCTGGCTGAGTGCAGGTCGTGGTCCTGGGGCTGGCATTGGGTTGGCCGCTTTCCCAGCTGTACCGACAGGATCTTTCCCATTCTTTGATTAAAGCTGCCTTTTTCTCAGTGATAACTGGTCCTGAAACGTTGTGCTCAGCTCCCAGGTCAGTGTCCTTATTTTACAGCTCCAACAACTTACTCCCCACTTCCTAACTCAACTACATAATTTTAATGGATTTGAGAGCATTTAAAAGGCTGTATGTAAGCTACTGTCCTTTGTGTTTGCCTAACAAGTAGAAATAATATGTACAATCATCTTATGAGCATGTATCTTAATGAAAACTTACTTTGTAGGATAACTGGGATGATGAGGAGGAAGAGGAGGAAGTAAAGGAGACGGAGGTGAAACAAGGTGAGACTACCAGGAGTTCACATCACTGTGTGCAGCATTGCTACAGACATTGCTTTTGTCTCTGAAGAGTCCAAAACACGTTCCAAATAGGATTAGTTTTGGTTTTGACAGAGCACGTCTTCTGACCCCCCTGGTCAGGTGCTGCCAACTGACCTCTGCCTCTTTCTCTTTGATTTGTGTTTTCCTGGTTATTCAAAAAAACACCAGGATGCCATATTGTTTAATGTCTTACAGAACCCAAAGTTTCAGAAAAAAAGAAAATAGCAGAAAAGATAAAAGAAAAAGAAAAGCAACAAAAGAAAAAGCAAGAGGAGCTTAAAAAAAGGGTAATTCCTGTTTCTTTGTGGGCTCAGAAATGCGGAGGGCTGTGTTGGTTGTGGGTTGCTCTGGGGGGCTGAGCGGGAGCTGTGAAGATCCTGGCTGATGTACTGAAGCAAACGTCAGCCCTGTGCTTCACACCTGGAGCTGTCAGTGTTGAGGACTGGTCCATCTGTGGGGAGAGGGAAGGACACCTGGGTTAGGCCTTACTGGGGGGGTAATTATCCACCCTGGCTCCCTGGGTAATGAGCTTTGAATGGCAACCTGTGCTCCCAGGGCAGTGCAGAAATGCGAACAGCATCCTTTCTGTAAGCCTGCATCTTAAATGGTCCCTGGAGGTGGTCAGGGTGAGGTTGGATGGGGCCCTAGGCAGCCTGGTCTGGTATTAAATGTGGAGGTTGGTAGGCCTGACTGCGGTGGGGGGTTGGAGCTTCGTGATCCTTGATGTCCCTTCCAGCCCAAACCATTCTATGATTCTGTGCATGCCAGAGTGGAGGTGTTATTTCCATAATTCAATTAAATTACAGAGAAATTAAACAGTTGGCGTTGTTATGATTAATTGGAATGGTTGTTGGGTTTGTACATGCTTGGAGTCTGTTGACTTCAGACAGAAGTAAGCTCCTCAAATGGTGCTGGAAAAAACATGGTTTCTTGTAACGTCTCCCCTCAATGTAATGTCCCCTCTATTTATGTGGGTGTTCTTTTTTGTTTTGTTTTAAATGCAGTTAGAGGCTCCAGAGGAACATAAAGAACTTACACCAGAAGAACAGTTAGCAGACAAACTACGACTAAAGAAATTGCAAGAGGAGTCAGACCTTGAGTTAGCAAAAGAAACCTTTGGTAAGTGTGCTGTGCCATGGCCAGGGCGGTGCAGCTGTGCCATGGTGAAGCATTCAGGTGTGTGCAGACATCCTGAGAGCTACTTGTGCTACTGAGAGTCAGCATGGCTTTAAATCCATGCTACTGGAAATGTACTCTGGAACTAAGGACTAATTGCAGGACTGTCTGTGGAATATAAGGTGTTACTCCTTAACATCTTGGTCGGAGGGAACAGGAGAAAGATGGCTGGCTGAATTTCCCTATGAAATGGTGTTTCTGGTGAACAGATGAGTGTGTGAAAGGAAATGCTGCCTTCTGCTGTTCTGTAGAGCCTTACAATGCAGGCTTCAGCCTGTCCAGTTGGGCTTTGGGCTCACATGGCACAGTGCAGTGCATGTGTGCTTTATTTCAGGCAGTCTGTGATGGCTGCTTCCTTGTGGGGTGACTTTGTTCCCTTGGGACAGGATAGAAGTTCCCTTGGGATAGAAGTAGATGCAGGGCAGCTCGTTCCCTTCTGCCCTTATGCTTTGACACAACGGGTGAAAATACTGAAGTGTGGCAGTGTGAAGCCTGCTGCTTTGCTTAGTGGGCTGCACGGTTGCTCAGTGAAAACTGCTGTGTGTCTTCAGAAAGAGGATGGTGCCTGAAGGGGGAGGGGCTCCACTTAACACAGTTGTAAAGAACCAGCAGAATTTTGCACTGAGGAACTCGGCTTTAGAATTCTCTATTAAAGGAAGGAGGGCTCTGCGTAGCCAGCACTGCCCAGAGCACAGTGAGCTCTGTGGCCCTGCAGGTTGCTAACTCAGCCATTGCTTTGTTTGCAGAAGATGGGGGGAGAAACTTTGGTTTGGCAGTGCTTGATGAGAAGGGGAGAACTGAACCTGTTTTGTTTTTTTTCTTTAGCATCATCTCTCAGAGACCACAGACAGTGTGTTCTCTAACACGTGTGCCTTTCCTCGCAGGTGTAAATAACACTTGTGGAATAGATGCCATGAATCCCTCTTCAAAAGATGACTTTACGGAATTTGGCAAACTACTAAAAGAGAAAATCACACAGTATGAAAAGTCCTTACATTACGCCAGCTTTTTGGAAGCATTAGTTCGAGACGTTTGTATTTCATGTAAGTAAAGTGAAGGACTTCCTAGAATCCACTGTCAGGATTCTAGCAGGTGTGACCTCGAGGGTGTGCTGTGAACTTAAAACCGAAACCAAGACTAATGCGTGCAGTTGGTACTGAGCAGAGTGTCACTGACTGAGTGTGAGGTTCCATCCCAGCCAGTGTTCTTGTGGAGCAGGTGCTTGTGCAACTGTTGGTCTTCCTACAGTCGCTTCAGAACTGCAGGTTTTCATGCTGTTCTCGATCTCACCCATCTCTCTTGAAGCAGTTTCTGGAACGTAAGTGTTTCTCTGAGCCAGGTAACGGCAGCAGCTCTGCTGGGAGGACTGTTACAAAAGTGAGGTCTTGTAATTCCGAGACTACAAGATTAATTGTTCTGGAATTGAGCATGTGACCATACAGAGATAAAGTAACTCACAGCCCTGTTTTTGCCCTGCTCTGGTTGGTGGAAGCAGTTGGTGGATTGGTTGTTTGAGCCCTTTTGCTGTGCTTTGCTCATGCTGCCCTTCAGCCACATGGTGGCTCGGTGCTGCGTAAGGCTGTGCACACACAGGAGCCTGGGCTGCCTGCAGCAGTGCTTATGATCCCAGAGCTGAATTGAAGGACTCACAGCCTCTTGGGCAACTTAATGCTGCGCTGCTCTTCTTTGGGTGTCTAAAAGAGTCAATATTTTACTGTACTGCATAATTTACAGTTGTTCAAGCGTCTCCCTGTTAAGACTCTGTGTACACCAGCTCTTAATTTGCACCCTTACCTACTGCACCGTTCCAGCTGTGTTACAAAGGACTTTGTGAACAGCACATGCAGATCACAAGGATCAGAACTAATTACTCAGTCTGTTCTGTTTTAAATTGAGCAAGTGCCAGTGTTTCCTTAGTGCTAACACTTACCTCTGCAGTCATGAGAGAATTGTGATGATGGGATATGTGAGCACAATATTGATGAGGAATCTCTTCTTTCTCTTCTGTAGTGGAAATTGATGACTTGAAAAAGATCACAAATTCGTTGACGGTACTATGCAGTGAAAAACAGAAACAGGAGAAGGTAAGACTTGCTCCCACAGCTGGCTGCAGCAGAAGCAGCACCTGCTGAAGGTGCTCATTGCCCGCACAGCACAATAGGTCCAGCACTGACCTGAACTGCTGATTGTGTTGTATGTGACAGTGACAGTAGGGGACATTATAATCTTGGATTCTGATCTAAAACTAAATGCCTTTAAATGTGTGAGATAATCAAGGGCTCATTGAATTCAGATCACAGGCCAAAGCCTTGGCTGGTAGACATGGAGCTGAGCTGTGTGCTCACCTGGTGCTGTCCTGGCAATGGAGAGGCCCCTGCTACAGCATCAGGATAGCAGAGTAACTGAAGTCTTTGCCTGAGTTTGTTGCTGGGGTTTGGAATGGCTGATAGCTGGGGGTGTTCCTGTGTTATGGAAATATGGAAGGAGCAACGACTGCGTAGACATGATGAGTGAGTTTTGTGAGGTGAGGTAGTAGCTGAATGGATACTGATGTGGTACAGAGCATAACAGTGGGTTTTACAGAATAGATTTAAAACCTCGAGTCAGTTGGAATTCAGTAATTAGTTGAACTGCAAAGACAGCAATGAAGTTAAACAGAAGATATCACTAGCAATGCATTTTTCAGAATTCTAAATCAAATTAGAGGATGGGTGCCTAACAAAGGGCAGTGCAATGGCACTGTAAGTAGTGACTTGGTGGGGCATTTCATCACAGTGTGTTTCAGGGCAGCGTTTTCTGCCGTGCCACCTCAATTCTACAGGAGAGAATGAAACACAGGAATTTAAATCAAACTTCATGTGCAGTGTTACTGCATTAAGTCTGGGGTTTGGTAAATATGATAAATATTTTCTTTAATATGAACTGTATTTTTGAGAAAAGCCTCTGGCTTACCAAACCAAGCTCGTTTAAAAAGTATGTGTGTTTTCTATTCTTGTATTCTCATCTCTCCTGGCTTTTCCTATAAACTAGTTTGGCTAACCCTGAAACCTGCACCAGCTCAGCAAGGCAGAGGTTTATCCAGCCATGTTCATTTAAGTTTATCTAGGACTTCTCCTCGAATATATATATATGTATTCAGCCACAACAGTGATAAAAACCACATAAAAGTTCCTTAATTTGATTGTTGGTTTTACAAGAGGTGACTCTAGCCGTAGCTGTGCTACTTGCTTAGAGGCTCAGTGACATAGGATGAATGAAGGAGCTGGGAATGTATGTGATGCAGGGAGCTGTGGGACATGGGGCAGTGCAGCAGCTGTACTGGGAGGAGATCGCTTTGGGTGCTGGGGTAGCAATGACTGGCAGTACAGCATGCACTGTGTGAGCAGTGATGCAGGTATTCATTCCTCTGAGGCTCTATTCAAGTCAGAAGGAAGGCAAATTGCTGTGGATGTGAAAGTAAATACACTCTCCTTCCTATTTAAGCAGAGTAAAGCCAAAAAGAAGAAAAAAGGTGTTGTGCCTGGAGGTGGTTTAAAGGCTACTATGAAAGATGACCTGGCTGATTATGGAGGATACGATGGAGAATACGTACAAGAGTTTGAAGACTTCATGTGACATTTATCTCCCCTTCTGTTGTCTTTCTGTTGCCCATAACCCCTTAAACATGTAGCACAACTTCTCTTTCTTTAAATTCTGCCAAATGCTATTATCAAAGCTGCAGTATCTCTGTGCTGGTGGCTCAGCGTGGCAGGCGGTGCTGAAGTGCTGCCATTCCTGTTCTGTGCTCGAGGAGTTGGAAGGAAGCAGCTCAAAAGCTCCGTAAATTACAGGAAAAAAATAAAAGGAACAACCAAAAAAACCAACAAACCGAAACCGCCGAATTCTGATAACAGTAATTGTTGCTGCTTGATTCTATAGTAACAGCCACCAAATTGGAAATGAATTTCAAAGAGGCAAAATATTATTAGCGGCACAGTTCTACGATATGGCCTTAACTGTACCTCCCTGAATGAGTTGTTTGATGAACAAAAGCAGTTTGCAGCGAGGGCATGATGGGTGTGCACTTAGTATTACAATTGCTTTGTCTTACGTTAGAGCTTGAGGTTTTCAGTGTATCGTGAAGGGGAACTGCTAACTTCAGAAGTGGGACGCTGCGCTGGGGAGGCGTCACTGAGATGCACTGCTCCACAGCCTGACAGCCCACAGCAGTGCTGGGCTGAGAGCAGGGAAAGAGCTCCTGATTTGGGAAAAACAAAACAAAACCTTGTGAGTATGAAGTTGAGTTTCCATTCATCTAAATTTCTACTAATGCAGCTGTATGGGTTGGGTATTCTTTAACAGTTCATCGCCTGGTTTCAGTGTAAAAAATCAAATACGACTTTGGGCTCCTGGGCTGCGGTCGCTCTTTCATGACTCGGCTGTTTTCTTTCATTTAAAAACAACTTGCTTAGCAAACTGCAGCAGTTACTACAGTGGGGCAAATTGTTACGTTAACAATTATGACATCTGCAATGTTTTATAAAGTAACTAATTTAATAAAAATCACTATTGTGAGGACTTCACTATAGCAGTCTTTGGCCCTGTTCCTAAACTGCTGCCTTTGGTCTGGGGATGGTGCTGAGCTTAGACTGTCCCACCTCCAGCCCCTCACCCATGCTGGCAGCCCTGAGCTGAACATGCTGGCTCTATGAGTGTGAAAAGGAATAATTCATAACTGGGAGTTGAGCACAAATATTAGATTTTTATTTGCTGCTCTCCTGGAATTTATTAAGCAGTAGGTAGGTGCTGTTCAGAGTTGTAAAAAGACTTAAACTTCATCACTAAGCCGGAAAACAGAAACAAGCTAATCAGGTTGGAATCAAAGATGACAAGCAACGGGTGATCTATAGTGTGTAGGAGCCAATTCTGCTTATTTTATTGGCAGTGTACAGGATGTATTACCTCATTTTCCTGTTGGTTTAGGTGCAGATCCTGTGGTGATCCCTTCTCCCCCCAGTTCCTAATGCTCTGTGGGTCCCCGAGGAGCACTGCCAGTTGTACCAGTCCATATTTGCCATCAGTCAGGTATTTGTAAAGGGTAGCATTTATTGTACAGAACACCTCCAGGTTAAGACAGCATCAACATTTCAAATATTTACAACCATCACCCTTTTTCTGGAGTGACTGTTACATAGCAGCACATCACTGTAAGCATTAGGAAATGTGGAGGAACCCGTACTAACCATGCAGGCTGTGGTGCTGGTGCGTGGTTCTAGTTGGATAACATATCATTAAGGCAGCATCCAGTCTGTGCGTCCTTCAGGAGCACGTTGACCACATCATAGAACTTGTTATCATAGGCCAGTCTGTAGTACGTGGCGATGTCCTCGCAGTAAGCCAGCAGCTTCTTCAGATTTCTCAGAGCATTGTCAGTGGGTGGGTGCTGCTTACACCTGAAAACAATTTCATGTGACATTCAGATAGGGTTTGCTGCCATTAAAGCTTTCTGTCTTGATAAAAGTATTTTTCAAAAAGGGGTTGTGCTCAACACACACATTTAATTCTCTTGGCTGCTTATTTTGCTGCAGTTCATTTAAAAAAGATGCAGTATGACCAGCATTAGTTAAGGCCCCCTGTTTACCCTGCTCAATAAAAACAATAATAGATCCACCACTGAGCATGCATTCCAGGTATTTTAGCACAGAAGAGTCTTTAACAATACTGGGACTTGCGTGCTATTGATGTGCAGCTTCTTGTTCTGCCCATGATAAAAACAAAGCTCCCGCTGTGACTGCAGAGCAACTCACTTCTTAGCAATCTCCTCAAACAGGGCAGGCTTCAGCAGTCTCTGTTGTTTAAATTCTTCTAAGTAACTGAAGTCTCCCTTAGCAATCACTTGTTGGTACAGAACTTCAGCCCAATCTGGAACAAACTCATACGCCTCGGCCACAACAGCCGCCTGCAGGGAGAAGAGATGCTGGAGGTACAGGGCAGGAACATCTGCCTAGCACAGATGTTGTCTTCAGTCAGCAGCACTGTGAGGGGAGCACACCTGCAGGCCTCGGTGGCCATGTGGCAGAGCTCACTTTATATACACTTTGTATACCTATAACCTGGTGGTTATAGCTATCAGTTTCCAAAAAAGCAGCAGATGAGAAAGCCCAGCTTACTTGATAGAATCGAGGCAAGGACACAATGCATTCCACCAGGTTCTGCCTGTTCCTGTTAATCAGCATGGTGCTCTGACCAGTGTTCAGAAAATGCAGCTGCAGAGTGATGAGCTTCGTGAGGCAGCGGCAGCGCAGGGCCTGGCGGACACAGGAGTCCTGGAAACAGAAACCTCAGTTTCCTCCTCTGAGGGAGGAAGACAAACACTGCTGCCAAAACACCCAATTCAGAGCCATCTACTGTTTGGCCTTGTACAGCAATGCACTGTCACACACTGATAATATCCCATTAGTTTTAAATGAAGTCTCGCTCTCTGCGAGGATTATTTTCATGATCTGATCACACTAGTTTTTAAATGCTCTTTGTATTGCTTTATTCTCACTTGCCCTGAGTGTAAAGCAGTTATGCTCACAGTCACTCCTCGAGAATCTCACTGCAATCCTACAAGTGTGAATGGTGAGCAGCATGCAGTGCTGTGACAGCAGTCTTACTGAGGCTGCTGTGTGCTGCACAGCTGACAAACCCAGGTTTGTGTGCTGATGTTTTATGGGGCTGGAACCCTGCTCAGCCCCAGAGCAGCACTTTGTTCCTGCAGTTCAGCTCATTTCTCATGTGCCATACAGTTCTATGTGGTGTTACCTTAGAGTAACTTTCTGCTGCATCAATGAAGAGGGTCAGAGCTTTCATCAGCAGTTTCTTTAAGTTTGCAACATCCTGAAGAGACTCCTCTGAAATGGGGGAAAAAATGGAATAATGAATTATTTCCACAGGTGACAAAGTAAGATGAAAAATATTTCTTAGCACCAACCCTGTGTGCACTCATTTCAGAAAGCAGCAAAAAAATCCATCTATAAAAAAAAAAAAAAGCTCTGGGAAATGGTGAAGCTGTTAGAGCTGTTGGGCTGTGAGCCAGAGCTGCTGCAGGAACTGCCAGCACATCACACAGCAGGAGCTCAGATGGCAGCAGGTTGTCTCTCTCAGCAGGTTTTGTCTCTCTCTCACACACACACGGTACTGCTTTACCTCCATGCTTTTGTAAAGCAAAACAAATGAACAAATCCCCACACTGCATCACACCAACGATAAAGTGAGGGAAAGCTGCATGCGTCCTGACCTCCAGCACTGAAACGTTACATTACAGCAACAGCCAAAACCTCAGCTCCTTGAAAAAGACCAACCAGAGCAGGCAGATGCACTGCGGGGTGCAAGTGGGGCCCTCCCTCCTGCCAGGGCAACAGCAGTGGAAGTTACAGAACAATGCAGGGAGCCACAGCTGCATTCCCCGGCACGTCTTCCTTCTTAACACAAACACAACACTGAGGGACCTCTGGTCGATCGTGTGCTGCACACTGCAGCAACATGATGTACTGCAGCAGTGCACACACTCCTATTTCTTGGCTTTGCAGCTGACACTCACCCCATGGCTGAGACTCAATGAGTTTCAGCTGTATGCGAGCAGCAGCCTCGTGATTCTCTCCAATTTCCCGGCACATGCTGAAGCAAAGGGCAATCATGTTGTGCTTCTCACTGTCCCCTGGGCGGCAGCGCTTGATGTAATCCAGCAGAGCAGTCTTCAGTGTCCCACTCTGGTCAGATAAAGGATTACCAAATTCAGATTTAAAGAGCTTATTTCTTACTTACATCTTTGTGCAACAGGCATCCTGATAGGATTCTCCAGAATGTGATTATTTCTCTCTTTGGGGTATCTCGTGAAACCCAGAATTCATTCATTACTTGGGAAAATTATTCTACACTTCCTACACTCCAGTAATTGGGATCCCAAGACAATTTCACCTTGCTGTGTAAATATCAGTTTCTGATGTAGACACAGTGCTCTGAAAACATTCCCCCTTCATTTCCCACCACCTACCGGGTCTAACTTCTTTCTCATGAGCACCTCAAAGTAATGCTTCTCGTGCAGCAGCTCAAATATGTAGGTCATCTCATTGTATCTGCCAATCCCAGTGAGAAGACGAACCTGTGGAAGCAGCAGTGTAAGTACACAGCTCACACTAACAGAAAGAAGGTCTGTCAGAGCAGCAGTGCTGTGCTGGGAGAAGGCTGTGCTGGCTATGGATGGATGGCACAGAGCAGTGCAGGGCATCACACAGGTGGGTGATCCCTCAGAGCCAAGAGGCTTTATTTTTAAAATCAGCCTGCTGCTCTGTTTTTATTGTGCTGTGGAAGAGCGCACTGCTACCAAACACAAACACTCAGTGAGCTGGATGCCCATCAATACTTTCCCCCTGCAGTACCACCATTACACTGAGCACAATGTGAGTCGTGCAGCACAAGCACTGCACCCACAGCTGAGGGACTCCTCCATCCCACCCCCGACCCTCCAGGACAGCTCGGAGCAGGTACTTGCTGACATGCTGAAGAGACCATCACACATCCTCTAGGCAACAAACGCGGCAGCAAACACACGCACCATAAGTCCATACTCATCATTAGGTGCCAAATGCTCATCTGTGAGAAGTCGTGCTGCCTGCAGGACCCTGGTGATTCCTTCCATGTGGCAAGTCAGACTAAAGCAATTATGGGCCAAAATCAGCAGTTCTGTAACTGAAGAACACAAGAACTCAGTTATTTCAGCTATCAGCACACACACAAAAAAACAAAACTGTGTTTTGTTTGCAGAGTAAATTCATGCAGTGCTTTAGCAATACATTTATTGTCCGTATATTCAGATTACCATCAGATCTGAGATAAATAGCAGATGCTTTTGTCAGCATTGCTTTTATTCTTTGTGATGTGATCTCAAGCCAAGTGCTGCCACGCTTGGTGATGCACTCCTTACCATTGCTTGCCATCTACTCACTGCATGACAGTTCCCCACGTGGCACAGAGGAAATTTTCTCCAGCAGCTTCATGCCCACCAGCGTGTGGTCCTGGCACAGCTTGGCGAGCTGCAGGAACGCCTGGCTCTCATCTGCAGGGTTGGAAACCTGCTTCTGTCCTGCACAGAGACAGCCAGTCATACCCAAAGTGCTACAGTGACAGAAGAAACAAAACCAACACAACCTCATCTGACTAAGCTAGGGCTTGGAACTACATTCTCAACACATTTCTGATCTTAGTGCTGAGATTTGGGAATCAGATACCACTACTTTGGAAATCCAATCCTTCTGAACATCTGTACTGCCACTGCAATGACACACATCTGTAATTTCACACATCCAGCAAGCTGCTGCTGCTGAAAAAAGGCATTTTCTAACCCATCCCTTGCAGTGGCTCTGGCTCATACTCTTCCATGAATCAGTTCAACTCATGAACTTGAAAGAAAACTCTTATTTCTGCTGGGTTGGTAAACTGACTCCTCTAAGAGTGGTGCATGAAATCATCCAATCTTATATAAGTGAGTGATACGAGGGGAACAGGAAGAGCACAAGTCTGCAAGGGAGAAGCAGAAAAAGTA